AGTGCAGTCCAGCCATGAGCGGGCCGGAGTCCAGAGTCGCATTCCGGTGGGTTTAGTCGCCGGATCCGGATGTCTGCAACCAGTCGTGAGGTCGCCGGTTCTGGGAGTGTCTGAGCGTAAGCTAGCCACAGGCACAATCGAGACGATAAAGTTCGGTAACGCGACCGCTGAGTGTCTCTCTACTATATTAAATATGTACCTGATCAAAAGTTGCAGTAAAAATAACCCGCGGCTAAGTGATTAGAGCTTAGAATTTATAAAGCTTAATAACCAAAAGAACGCTCATTAGAACTTACGGCACTCCCGAACGAAGGGTCAATAATCCAGAAGTGGTCAGTCCAGTCTCCCGTGTTTTTTCGGCAATGTTTTCCTGCTCGTACTACTAGTCGTTGTGTGACTGCCTGTGGGACGCTAGATCGAGCCCCAAAACACCGCGGGCCAAGTGATTCCTGTAATCGATCGGCGAGCGTTTGTTTGGCATTGTGTATATTCCCGGTCGAAACCGGCCAGGCAACAAGCCCGTGGCGCAGTTGTTAGAGTGTTAAACTTCTAACTAACAAGTTCGCAGGTTCGAACCCCGGCCTTTGGGTATGGCTGGTTGATGACGGCTAATAAGCCAGAAATGGCCATTCTAGTCTCCCTCGTCTTTGTCGGTTATACCATTATGCCTATATCATTAGCAGCTGTGCGGCTGCTAGCAGGGCTCGAGAGTGAGTTCGAAGGCACAGCCAGATGACTGAGTCATGTAACCAATCAGTGAGAGCCTGCCTGCCGTTATATATGATGGTGGATGGCGCTCACCGATCGGTTACAGGACCAATTCGTTCCGGTGTGCCCTGGAGCTCGGTCTCGAGCCTCACCAGCAACCGCGCAACAGCTAGCATATTATGGGTGGAAACACATTATCGGAAAGGACAAGGGAGACTGGAATGGCCATTTCTGGCTTATTAGCCGTACTCAGTCAGCCATACCCAACCCCAGTGGTAGCGATCCCCCAGGTTCGAACCCGCGACCTTGTTGACGAGAAGTCCAATGCTCTAACCACCGTGCCACGGGCCTGTCGCCTTGCCGGTTTCGATCGAGAGTATACGTAAAGGTAGATAGGCGTTCACGATCGGTAAGGAAACTCGCTCGTCCTACTGTACCTTGGGGATCGCCCGCGAGCCCAATTAGCGACCGCTTACCGACTAGCATATTATAGACAGAAATATATTACAGACATAACTATGTATGCACAGTTCATCTTCAAACTGTGGCGAACTCTGACAACATTACTGAATGATGTTGTTGAAATCTGCTTTTTAATTACTGTCTGTTCTTGTCCAGCTATTGCTGAAAACACCAACAACAGGAAACATTTTATATCCTTGATCAATGCCTATTCCCCTTTCAGCCACTGTTATCTGTTTAGGAGCGCAGATCTTACCTTTAAAGTCTGGAGAACGAAAATCGTATCAAATAAAATCCCTTTGCCCAATTCACGTGTTTGGCAGGATCTCATCAAGATGGAAACCTATACTGTAGGGCATCCATCTTTCTGAGCGTAACATTTTGCACCTTCAAAGATCTCCCTAATGGTTGACATGACGGCCTGTCGCACTAGCCTAAAAACAAACGACACAACTAATTTTCTTGATGATGAGCCACATTGCTTTGTAACTCCTGCTAGGCTAACGGCGCGGTACACCTTAGCATGCTGGTTGTCGGGTTTCCAACAGGCGTACTTTTGACAATAATTTAATTTAAGCAGTCTCATAACTCGACAACTTTCTGTTGGAAAGTGTGAATCCCTCTAGCTGTTTTCGTTCACACTACTCCAATATTCGACCTAGATACCACTGGCCAAGTATAAGAATGTAACCATTGGAAAGACTCGGCTCCATATACGATGGGCAGAAATTCATAGGTCATGACTCGGTTGCCAAACATATTTTTTCAGACTTTCGTAGCATGTTTCTATTATCTTTTTGCCATGTGGGGTTTATTGATGGCCTCGGTATTCCGAGACGTCTTTTGACAACATAAGGAATAGCTCTGAGGGTCGCAAATTTATTACCGGTTTGATTAATGGTATGTGGTATGTGTAAATCGGTCTGAACCTCCTTCCTTATCTGTCTTCCAATGGCATTCTTAAACTTATAATAGCATTTTGAGATGCTGTTTATTTCTTAAAATCCTAACAGGACTGACATTGGTAATTTTATTAACTTAATTCAAAAAGCAAGAAGCATAAATGAAGTTATTCGCCGTTAAAATGGGCCTAATTCGTTTTCGGGATACCCTTTAAAAGTAGGCAAATCAACGACTTCGGACCGTATCACCATACCAAAAGAAAACGTCCGAGTGATGCGGGTATGAGAATGATCGTGTAGAGAAGGTTAAACGTGTACAGTAAACGAGTTTCGTGGGGAAGGTTGCAGGTTTCTAACTTTCAATGATAATGTTTTCCTCACACAACGTGCTTGTTGTTTTATAGAAACATTAACCAAAGGAAAACAGGGTGATAGTCCATTATAAGGCTAACCGCGGCAATCATATCCCCAGAAATCTGTAATACGGGACCGGTAGTTAAGGTAATTCGTTTTTTTAATTTCCGGATTTCTTATTTTATTTATTGAATCTAATTTATTTTATTTATTTGAATTTATTTTTTTAAATTGTCGCACGTTATGTCGTTGCTATGTACTAGCTTTTTACAATAATTTCATCATCTATTCCGTTTTTTAAATTTGTTTTTTTATTTTCTCACCTGCGCCCCTGTATTGCCTCACCCATATAACCTTTATTACCACCGGTTCCGTATTATACAAATTTGTGGGTTTACTTTCCATGATGAATCGTATAATTTACTGTTGCCCCAAATAGGACCGAGGTTTACTTTGACCCAAAGTGATACTTTATCATTTAGGACCATGTTTTGTCTTCCGCGGGTCTCTGAGCTATGAGTTGTGGCTTCTGCAGTCACGAAATCTCCGTTTCCGTCATCCCCTTCCTCCTTATCGTCATTAGTACAATCGCTGACAACAATAACAGCACCAACAATATCATCCTGCGTCTCCACCTCGTGCCCCGTACTGGCCACCCTCCTCTTCCGACCGGTCGTCCTTGCCGCTCTTCTCTTTCCTCTGGCAGTCATCCCTAACCGGTATGTATTTTCTTCGCATCTATCTTCACTCTCTTTCTCTCTCTTACCCTTTTCTCCTCTTCCCCAGTTAAGCCCGTCCATAACTTCCACAGTCCGCTCCCTCCCCTCCCCCCGCATATTATTTTCACCCGCGTCATTTGTCGCCCTCATTTTCCTTTGCCACCCCTCTCGCCGCGTTTATTTTGCTTCTTTGTGTGAAAAGGACGATACAATCGTTGAAACAAGAAGCTTATTATCCTGGCGTTTCGGTTTCTTACTCAAATCAATCATCGGAGCCAATCCATTGAATTTCTCTTTCCTATATTTTGCTTCCTTTCAGTTTTGTCAACTACTTTTTTGCTGCGAGTCTCTTTGTGTTTCTTTAATCACTCGTCTTGGCAGGTATTTGCATCTTCCCTTTCCCCTTCTGGTCCACCAATCAGCAAGCATTTGACTGCTGTGTCGCTCACAGTTTAATGGCATCATAGCCAAATGGAGCTGGAATGAAAGGCCATGTCACGCAACTTTATTTCCGAAGTGGAGGCCAATCCATTACAATGACTATGACCAGCCCGGTCTCCCAGACTCCTCTGTGTTTGAAGTCAAGGATCACGTGAGTAGCAACAGGGGGAGGACTGAACAGTCTGACAGACAAATGTTGCCAACAAGGACCCTAA